AGGAGCAGAAAAGGAAAATTGATAGACAGAAGGAGAAAAAATACGAATAAAATAAGGGTGACCAAACATCTTCTTTCTTTTACTGCAATCTTCTTTCTTTCACAGTTTTGCAGTTTTGGCGAAGAGTCTCCCACATTCATTTTTCAGCGCACCTGCACTTCCTTCTTCATTTTTTATTCTCATTTTCACTCTTCGGACTTTTTCTTTGAGGGTGTTAGGGTGCAGGGTGCAAACATAGTAAAATGACACAACTTGTGTTCTTCTTTTACTATATTCTTCACTGTTTTGCAGTTTTAGTGAAGAGTTTCCCACCTTTGCACATTCTTGTACACTCTTTTCAGCGCACCTGCATATTTTTGCCAGAGTGCAAGGTACGTCTGGTCTAAGTAAGACTCTCACGACGGATAGGACAACTATCATAAGGATGTGGGCGATCGTAGCAGCCCTCCCACTGATCTGTAGGACGAAAACCATCCAGGTAAGCAACTTCGTCACAGCAGGAGCCAGGATGGCTAGCATTAACCATACGTCTGAAGCATGCATGGCAGAGGGCATGCCGGTTGCAGACCATGACGATTGTGGGGCGTTCACCATGAGAGTTAAGTGCGCATTCGTTATAGCGCCCGTGGGTACATATGGGAAATACTGCATCTGGATGCAAAGGATGTTCACAATCCGGATACAGGTGGCATCCCTGCCGACAGCGGGCCCGAAAAATTATATGGTTGTAGCGATGCTTTCCACAACCAAGTGTAACTGTGTTAATGATTTCACAAATACGGAGGTCACAAGGTATTAGTGCAACATGTGGGGGAATGAAGACTAAAGCAAGCACGGTGACAGACATGGAGGTAGGCACGGAGATAGACACAGAAACGGGCATGGAGACAAACACAAAAACGGGCACGGAGATAGGTGCGGAGGCAGGCACAGAGATAGGTGCAGAGGCGGGGACGGACGTACACGAGGTACCTATAGGCTATAGCCTATAGGGTAAGTAACCTGGAAGGAGACACACACAAAAACAAGCACAGAGACAGGCACGGAGGCAGACACATAGATAGGCGTAGAGACGGACATGGAAGTACACGATGTACCCATAGGGTTAATGACCTGAAGCAATTGCAGGTTATGGTAATTACGCACGAGATCACAGATGGCAGTAATAGTTTGCACCATAGCACCGCCATTCCATAACTCCCAAGAACAAGAGGGATGAACAAGAGTGGTGTAGTGGCCAATAGTATGTAGAATATAGGCACAAATGTGCGAACAGTGGTCCGGGTCGCCACCCGAAAGGGCACGCTGCATATCTAGCCGTCGCCTTGTCAAAGCAGTCTCCAAACACAAAGACATTAAATCCCCTATGTCAAGTGTAATTACTATCCTATGGGGGATGCAGAGTCGGGTTATCGCCATATAACTCACGTTCCTCAGCATCAAGATCGGAAGCAATGGCCAAGAAATCAGAGTGAGTATATGGTTCCCGACGATAGGCTTGTAGCCAGATGTTAGTAGCAGCAAGACCATACATATTCGGTGGAGGCCGGTCATACATATTTTCTATAGAATCTCCTACAGTCCCCTTGCCAAGTTCATCCCCGGATGGTCCCTCACCATCATCCCTCCTATTTTGTGTTTGCCTCATTGCAGAAAGGTCTGCAGTCGAAGGCGTGGTACAGATGCTTGGGGCGGCAAAAGACGGGGATGGGATGTTGGGGAGGGCCGTGGTGGGGAGAAAGAACGGGTTTTTCTTCGTCCAAGAATAGAGATAGAGGAAAGGGGATTAAGTTGAGGTTGGGGAGTAAGTTGACGTTTAGGATGGCGATGTAGGCTTTCTGCAGGGGCAGAACAAGATGACGAAGTCTGTGTGGACGAAGTGGTCACAACCCCTCGTTTGTTGTCCTCTTCCCCCTCTCTGCCTACGGTTTACCGGGCAGCTACGTTTGACGATATATATATATATATATATATATATATATATATATATATATATATATATATATATATATATATATATGACTCTCTCTCTCTCTCTCTCTCTCTCTCTCTCTCTCTCTCTCTCTCTCTCTCTCTCTCTCTCTCGTTCGTCGATTTTTTATACCTGCATGTATCTGCCGAGCGCACACACACAAGCACACATATACAGACAGACAAGCTAGAATGTGAGTCGGGCATCGCCTACCAGCGGTTATGCGATGAGCTTGATTACGTGATGAAGTCGGGCATCTTTGTCCTC